AAGGCAGGAGGATCATAAAAAGCCAAGTGTGGGCAATTTATTGAGACCTTTGCTCAAAATAAAAAGGGCCTAGCATGTATGAAGATCTGGGTTCAATCCTCAGTGTCAAGAAAGAAAAGAAAGAATTTTTCTTTTTTAGAGCACCACATCATGACATTTTGGGGTGAAATTCCATGATATCCTGATTTGCATCAAAATTAATCCAGTCTTTATTTTGAGACGGTGTGGCTCAGGCTGGCCTCGTATTACACCTGCTCCCTCAGCTGAGCACTGGGTTCAGAGGCATGGGCCTCTGTCTGTGCAGTTGAGTATCTCAACTTTGGTATGTTTGACAGCATTTGTAACAAAATGTTTAAGGAGTAATAAGCGTACATGGTTTTATACAAAGCCCTCAACAATTGGTAAGCAGGCTCTGGGACTAGATTTCAGGTAGTTGACCTTGAGCCCTTTCTCCTTGGCCACGCCCTTCTGGATTTTTATTCTCAGGTGCAGCAGTTTTTGAGAAAACATGGTATTCAGAGGTGAATCTTCTCTGTTTTCCCAATCTGCTCTCCAGGACCCACATACAATTTCTGCAGGGCCCCTGGGTTTTTAGGTGTAGGATAAGAGGCCGGTCTCAGTTCTCCCAAAGTGGCTTCCACATGGCTTCCTTCGGCAACATCTCAACAGGTGGTCACAGCCTGAAAGGAGAGGACCTGCAATGCCCCCCCCACCCGTGGACAGACAGGTCTCCTGGCATCCCTGGGTTCCCAGAAGAAGTATTCCCAACAACAGGGTCTCCTCGAGGGCTCCAAGCTTAAATAAATAGTGCCTTCGTGAGCTAAGTGCACTTAGGAATGAGGAATTCCATGAAAGATCCCATTCACATCTATGGTTGAGATAAAAGCACCCCTCCCCCTAGGAAAACTTTCTACTTTGAGCCAGCCCATAAGTATGACACTAGGGTCTAGGGGCAAGGGGGGTGTACAGAGATGTTTATAACAGGCAGTCATTCAGTAATCCTGGGTTTTCCACCCCACCTGTGCCTGAACTAGGGGAAAGCAAAGTTTATGGAGGCCCTCATTGCCTAGGTCAGGGGCACGGGCTGGTGCCTGAGAGGGAGCTCCTTGAAGTGGATGCCCTGGTGCTTCCTCTTCATCCTAGCGCTGTGTCTATGCTGGACTCACCTAGGCAGGTGCACACAAGGGTCTCCTGTCTCCTCAGCTCTTCCCTGGCCTCCTGCCCTGCCTGGCAGGCGTTGCTGTGTTCTCCTTGAGGGATTCTGCTGTAGTGAAGTCAGATCATGCAGCCCTTGGGCAACCCTTGAGCTCCTGACCTTCCTCAACAAAAGCCTCCCCTTGGCTCTCTCCCTGCAGGAGTTGCTCCTCCACCCTCTGTGTCTTCTCCAGTGGTGTCCTTGCTGCTGTTCACCTGGACTAGTTCTTGCTTGGCCTCACCAGTTCTTCTCCCCGCCATACTTTCCCACTTCGCTTGCTGTTGTACCCCCCTGTAGACCCACAGACACACATCGCTTGTTCCCGGCCACTGTCTTTAACTTTGCACCTGTCTACCTCACACTTTTGAGCCCCTTTCTGCTTTGATTTTTTTTTTCTCCTTGTGGTACCAATATTTATTTCAGTTCATCTCCCCCCTTAAAAAAAAAGTGACAGGAGTGCAGAGATCTTTGTTTTGATCACAGTTGTATGGATAGTGCCTGGATTAAGGCCTGTCCCCAGTATACATTTGGTGGATCTTTGTTTGAGCAAATGCATCAGGGAATCATTTCAGAACACACGTGGGCTGCTGGTGCCTAAGGTCCGGCCTGGCCTGGCCTCTCCTGTGTGATTCCTGGTCCCTTGCCAGCACGTAGACTGCATTCTGCTTTGGCAGGTAGAACAGCAGGACTCTGCAACCAGAGGCTTACTCCCCCGATCCTTTGTCCCTTTTGGCCTCAGCTCATCAGAAGCTTTTGTCTCTGGAAAACCAACAGAGCCCTCTGCCAGAAAGGTCTGCCCGATCTCCTTGTTGTTTCAGCTGTTTTCAGGGTTCTCCAGGAGAATGCTTGGCCTCAGAGAGGCCAGTAGGGAGCCAGGGTCAGGTGATGGAGAGAGTAGCTCAGGAAGCCCACGGCCTTCCAGCCTGGGGCTACTCAGACACTGCTCCGTGGATCTCTATCTTGCCTTATCCCATTCTTTCCGGCCTTCCTGTCTGTGAGATAAACAAACCTGGAAACTGAGGGAGAGCATGCTTTACCACCCTGAGCAAACCTGCTTTAAAAAAAGGATCCAGAGATGGAGAGGTAGCTTTATAGTAAAGTGCCTGCTTAGCATGCATAAGCTCTGAGCTCAATCCCAAGCACCACAAAAAGTGTCAGAGGGGTCAGTGAGAGGGGTCAAAGGGAAAAGCAGTAATCATTGGTAAAGATGATTATCAACTAAAATTTGCTGCCTGGGGAGTGTGGAGATATTGGGGGGGTGATACCCCGAGCTCACAGTCATGTACGTTCTGGTGGAACAGCCTGTCTTTTATAGTGGAATGTGCTGATTAAGTAAGGTGGTCAGGTCGCTTCTACCCCAGTAGAAGAAAGGGTGAATGCTTAACTTGCCAGACTTCCTCCTTTTCTTCCCTATCTTTGAATTAAAGCTCCTTGCCTCTGTTTTCTGAAAGTGATTCATAAGAGTTGGGAAAGTATATCTGATACAGTTCCAGAGCAGCCAGTGGTGGTTTTTTCAGAGCAACTTAGCTCATAGTCTAAGCTTAGATCTTAAAGGAAGGTCACAGGTTGAAGTCCATCCACTCAATATCTGATTTGCCATTTTCTTTCAGTTAAACAAACAAACAAGCAAACAAATAATAAATAAATGGGAACAGATTAAACGTCTCCCCAGAGTCTTGAGTGTGAAGGGTTATGAAATAGTACACCGGCTTATTTCTATTCTATGAAAATATTAAATATGGTGTTAATGATTCTCTTTGTAAATCCTCAAAGGAATGCTTTATCATGGAACACCAAAGAAAAATATTAATGTTCCCACCCCAATTTTAGCTTCTTTCTTAAGTGGATTCCCTCCCCCCTACCCGGAATTCTTGTACACCGGGCCATTCCGAAATAGATTACTGACCAGTAATGAGGCCACTCTAGTGTTCTAAGCTAAGCAGCTTTACAGAGAAAAGCCTCTCAGGACTGTTGTTCATGGTCAGAAGCCAGTAGAATGAGGCTGGGAATTAAGCAGCAGGTGAACAAGTATTTGCTAAGCACCCTACTTGTGCAAGAGTCTTCCAGAAAGGGAGAAGTCTTTGGAGCCTCAAGATCAACAAATACCAGTTGAATCTAATTGAGTTTGAAATAACTCTCCTTTGGAAAGTGGAAGATTTTGCATTTCTGAACAATTGATTCATTGCCTTCCAGATTACCATAACTGTTTACTTGGACTGCCTTTTATTTTGATTAGGGAATTGCCCATGCTTTTGATTTTACTTAGGTTTTTCAGAATCTACATACAACAGCCACCTCCATCCTCTTGAGTTGTCCATTGGATTAGCTGGTAGGGTTTCTCACCTGGATTATTGCGTGACATAACTCCAGCCCCAGTAACGTCTTTATACATCCACAGATTGTTGGTTTTTAAAAACCCCTTTCGTGGGCTGGGTGTTCAACTGAAATTTGTGTTTGTTCAGAATTTCAGCATATTGGTCTCTGACCAAGGCTTTTACATGATCTAGGGGTTGATTGGTTGTATTCTTGGTATTATTTGGAATCTACAGCTGAAAGTCTAAGCTTCAGTTCCTGTCTTTCAAAACTCAGCCTGATATGTTGAGTTGCCTCTGTTTGGCCTCCAAAGCTGAGTCATCTCTAGTTAGGCTAAGCAGTTTCCTTTGTCTTCTAGACTCAGAGTCATGAAATTTTTGTTTTCCAGGACTTTGTGCTACTCTAAGAGTGATCAGAGGACCAGTGGGGTAGACCTCTTCTGGAATTATGTCCTTAGTGCTAGATTTTTTTTTACTCAAAATTGCATGATTAGGATGTGAAACGGACATATTTCCGCTATTTTTTTCTTTTCTATAGTACTAGGGATTGAACCCAGCGATCACTGCTACGTACCTAGCCCTTTTTATTTATTTTATTATGAGGCAGGGTCTTGCTAAATTGCTCAGGCTGCCCTTGAATTTGTAATCCTCCTTCCTCAGCCTTCTTAATGGCTGGGATTACAGGCGTATGCCACTATACCCCACCTGCATTAATTTTTTTTTTTTTTTTTTTTTGGCAGTACTGGGGATTGAACCCAGGGCCTTTATTTTATTTTGTGTTTTTGAGATAGGGTCTTGCTGAGTTGTCTAGGTGGGGCCCAAATTTATGATCCTCCTGCTTGAGCCTCTCGGAGTGCTGGGATTACAGGTGTGCACTGCCACACCTGGCTTCCATTAGATTTTTTTTCCTAATATTTAATTATGAAAGTCACAAATGCAGTAAAATCGAAAGCTCCATTTTACACTGAATAGCCATATATTTTCCACCTAGATGTCTTTTCACATGTCCCTTTCCCCCCAGATTTCTATCAAGAATTTCATATATATAGGTTTATAGCATGACTGTTACAAATATGAATCTGATCCTTTTTTCTTCTTGAGAATTCTCAGTGACGTTGACAGGGTTGCAGTTAATTGCAGGATTTCTGTGATCGGAAATGTGGGGACAGATGTAGAGGAATACTGGGATTTAGCAAAGTTGGGGACCGGTTCTTGACCCACCCACAATTCTGGGCCTCAGTATCTTCATCTATACCATGTGTGGGTTGAGAGAGGTCATTTCCAGTGTGACTTCCAACCCTGTAACTCTCGATCCATTGCAAATATTAGCATCATTCTTTTTCAGGTGAAAGATACAAAGATCAGTTAAGTATTCGAATAAGAAGGAAAACATCTGTTGGCATGGGAAAGTGATTATTTCCTAAGTTACTGGGTAAAACACAGCTGCAATGACAGTTTTAACTCTGTTTTCTTGTTAATTTTTGTTCTTTCAGGAAACTTCAGAAACCTCAACCATCTGGAACTGAAAACCTCATGTGGGGCTGACTGCAGCTTCTAGAACATCCAGGTGTTCTGCAGATGTGAGAATTTATTCCGCAGTCACCAGATCGAGTCCCAGACAGCTGCAAGGCTTGTGATGTGGCCTGAACAGCCTTAAATACAGAGGGGTCGCTTGTCGAGTGGCCAGAAAGTGGTCACTGATACTGATGCTAACTGTTAAACCCAGCTGGTAGTCTTGTTAAGTTGCAGCGGGGAAATATTTCCTGCGGAGGGGCAAGCCAAGTTAGGGGTTGCAAGTTTCCTGACTCTCTTGCATTAGATTTGCAGATGAAGGCCTCATTTCTGTAGTCTCCGCCATACCTGGATCAGCACCACTGCCACCACTATGTTCCCACAAACTTCTCTCCATCTCGCCAGGGACTCTGTGTGTTGAAAGTGAACAGACAGAGAGAGAGAGAAAGAGAGGAGAAAGAGAAAAGCCTCTAGTGGACCCACCAGACACCTGGAATCTTCCCCCTTCCTACCATGGGCTGGCTTTTTCTGAAGGTTTTGTTGGTGGGAGTGGGTTTCTCTGGACTTCTTTATCCTTTTGTGGATTTTTGCATCAATGGGAAAACAGCAGGCCAGAGACCAAATATTGTGATCATTTTGGCTGATGACATGGGGTGGGGTGACCTAGGAGCAAACTGGGCAGAAACCAAGGACACTGCCAACCTTGATAAGATGGCTTCGGAAGGAATGAGGTGAGTCTTGAGGTTGCCAAGATGGCACCTCTTTGGATTCTCATCCCAATTCTTATGGTAGGAGGGGGCACTAGGAAACAAACACCTAAGGGGCAGTTAATGGGTCTGTGTTGATTTCATTAATGTATTAATTCATTTGGTTTGAAGCCAGAGCAAAATCATGAAGAACTTATCCATCTATCCATCTACCCATCCACCCAACTACCCACTTACCAATCTACTCCACCCATCCACCTACCCACTCATGCATCCATCCATCCATCCATCCATCCAATCATCAGATGATATTTATTGTGTGTATCTGTGTATTAGGAACTGGGAATACAGAAGTGGACAAGACAAAAATTCTTGCCCTCGAGTTATTCTGCTTGGCAGAAGAGACAGTTTAAAAGAAAGTAAGAATTACAGTGGAGGCAGGCACGATGACACAGTCCTGTAATCCCAGCAGTCTGGAAGGCTGTGGCAAGAGGACTATAAATTCAAGCCCAGCCTGGGCTTAGTGAGAACCTGACTCAAAAGCAAGTAAATTTGAAAAGGGCTGGGGATGTGGCTCAGTGCCAAGGCCCTGGGTTCAGTTCCCAGTATTGGGGGAAAAAAAGACTTTAGGTGCTTAAATGCCCTGAGAGGTCATCTCAGATTTGGCATGTAGGAATTTTTTTTTATGGGGAGACTTAAACCAGACATCATATTTACAAGACCCCCGCCCCCTCAAAGGAGCTAGGTTGCCATATTCTTACAACTTCTGCTTTCAGCATGCGGCAGGTTTGCAGGGAGATAGCAGGCCTATCATTTAAGCTGCTGTTTAGGAGGCCTAGACCTTTTTCTTGAGCTGTACTCACCAACACACCCATTCTAGGCAGAAGATGAGGGCCTTGGGGGTCAGATGCATACCAGTTTGGTGGGCTTTCCAATTTTTTTCTCCCCTTTATGATCATATTCTCTCCTCTGAACCTGTGACAGTGGCCAGGTGGCCAGCCCTCTGGCGGGAGGACCACATGTTTTCATTCTCTGCTTTGTTGACAGGAAAGCCGGCTTCCTGTGAGGCCACGGATTGATTCATCGCTGGCTTCTCCCACTGCCTACTCATGGCCGGTGGGGGATCTGTGGTTTTCAGACACGAACTCTTATTGCGAAATAGGGCTGAGGTGTGACTTGAGAGAGTATTGTTTCTGCTGTCATCTTTTTGTTAGAGTATTGTTTTCCTAAGACTTCGGGAACAAATTTGCTACAAACTGGGTGGCTTAAAACAACACGTAGCCCTTTGTAGTTCAGGAGTCCACAAGTCCAAAATCAAAGTGTCAGCAGGTCCATTCTTTCTGAATGATGTTCTGAGAGGAAATCTGTCTTGCCTCTCTCCTGGCTTCCGGTGCCTCCTAGCAATCTATGGCTAACAGACTCCAATCTCTGCCTTGGTTCTTACATGATATTTTTGTGTGCTTGCCTTCAAATGCCCTTCTAGGAAGGATACCAGCCGGTGGACTCAAGATCCACCCTCATCCAGGATGGCCTTATCTTAACTTGATGTGCAAATACTCTAAAGTCACATTCCCAAGTTCTGGACTGACATGATCTATGGGGAGATATTTTTTATTCTGAAGCAATTAGCTGTATTTCAGATCTTCTTTTCTTGTGCTTCAGGGGACCCTTGACTTACAAACTCAATTTGTTTGAGAGGGTGGTAACTCAAGTTGGTTGTAAGTCAAGACTATTTTTCCCATAAGAAATAATGGAAATGCCCATGATGTGGTCAGAGCCTCCCAAAGCACCCCTTCACTAACCTTTTCGTAATAAAAGAAGGGTTGTAGAATGTGCATAATTTACCAGAAGCACCAGTAATTTTCCTAGTGTACTCTGGTCGTAACCCAAGTTGTTTGTATGTTATGCCAGTCATCACTCAAGGATCCACTGTAGTCTAGTACAGCAGGTGTTCAATAATTTGTGTGTGTGTGTGTGTGTGTGTGTGTGTGTATGTATGTTACTTGGATTTGGACCTACAGCTTTTGCCCTAAGCTACATCCCTATCCCCTTTTAAACTTTTTTTTTTTGGTACCGGGATTGAACACAGGTCCTTGTGCTTGCGAGGCAGGCCACCGAACCGCTGAGCTAAATCCCCGGCCCCCTTTTAAACTTTTTTGAGTCAGGGTCTCATTGAGTTGATCAGGATGTGCTTGAACTTTTGATCCTCCTTCCTAAGCCTCCAGAGTTCTGGGCTTACAGGCATGTGCCACTATGCCTGGATTCAATAAATATTTTCTGCATTGAAGACTGGATATCGTGCTTAAGCAGGCAGGCTCTGATGACAGGGCTTGAGTTCAAAGTCCACCTCTGTCATGGTCCACGTAACCCTTGGAGCTTGTCTTTCCTTTTCTCTAAATGGGGACAGTGATAGCCCCCAGCCCATAAGATGTTGTGAAGGTTAAATTAGATGATCTAGGTAAGCCACCAGCATAGACCTGGCACATAACACATACTGATACGTGGTAGCTGTGGTTATTTTTGTTATTAGGAGAATGTACATTTGGATAGTCATTGTGAACTTGCTCCTCTGTGTGAGGAAAGATCTAAGTGACAGATCATGGGAGGAGGAGATGAGGTGGGGTTGCAGAGGCGAGTCCCTGTTGATCCCTGTGCGTGTGTGCACACTGAGCCACACCTATGTGTTAATCAGCGCAGCAGCTGCAATAATAGCTAGCCCTTGGTGAGTGCTCGCAAGGCGCCGGCAGATCATCGGCCCATTTCATTCTCAGTTGGACCAATCTGGGTCTTACACAGGTGAGGATATCAGGCCCAGCATCGGTGAGCGGCCAAGCCAACGTTCAAGCCTGGCTCTCGAGGCTTCTCCTTCAGGGACAGGAGGCAGGGGGGAATTAAGTGTCAAGGGTTGGGTTGGCTTTGCCATAAGGACTGCTGAAAGGAGGGAGTTTGGAATCTCAACCTGTTCTGTCTCTTTGGTGCTGATGAAGGGTTTTTGAGTCCCCTGTGTCTAAAAGGTGACCTGAGAAATGTGCTGCCGATGTCAGTCACCGGGGAGGTGGGTGCAGCCATCGGTGAGGGGCGTGACCCGTGTGGGGTGGTAGCCGCTGACCCTACCCCACCTACTCCACCCTGCTCATGCTCCTAACATGGCCTTTAGTTTTGTATCTGCATCATAGCCTGGCATTTGCTGTCCCCTCTTACTGATAAGCTCTCCCTTTAGGCTTTCCCTAGTGGCTGGCCTCTGCTCACCCTTCTGGGCTTTACTCAGCTGGTGTGTTCCTGGAGAGGCCTTTCCTGCAGTCTCTCTGCTATTGCCTCCTTTCCATGCATGTCCTTGGTTCATTTCCATCCCCTAGATCACTGCTGAAATCATCTCTTTTTTGAGACAGGTGACCTGGAATTTACTGTACAGCCTGGGCTGTCCTTTAACTCACGATCCTTCTGTCTCGGCCTCCTGAATGCTGGGATTATAGGCATGTGCCTTCGTGCCCAGCTTGAGACTATCTTTGTCTCTGTCACCTTTCTCACACTGCAGTGTCAGCTCCCTAGATAAGTGACCTCATCTGTCTTGTTCATGCCTCCAGTGCCTGATTAATGCCTGGCATTTAGTAGGTTCTCAAGTGATATTTGTTCCTATATTTGGACTCTTGGAGCTAAGCTTTTGGGTAAGTATCCAGGCGTCACCTACAACATGGGATCTGGATCTAGACTGCCTGGATCCGTTCCTTGCTGGCTCTGGGATGCTAGGATAGTTACCAAACCTTGCCGGGCCACGGTTTATTCATCCCTACCATGCAAGGATGATGACACCCATGTCACAGGGTTGCTGTGAAGAGGATATGAGGTAAGTCATGTGGGCATTGCAAGAGTGGTGATGAAAAATCAAAACCATAACCAAACCACCAAAACTCAAAAAAGGAGGAGAAAAAAGAGAGAGAGAGAGAGGCTCATAGGTCTCTCGGGGGTTAGGAGGAAAACACTGGTGATAGTGGAGCGGGTGGTCCCAGCCAGCCGAGTTCAGATGCTGCCCACCCACTGGAGTTGCCAGCCAGGCAGGCTCAGAGGAGAAGCCAGTGGTGTGTGGAAACTGCAGTTAGCCGTGCACATTGATGAGCCGTATGTAAGCCACTCCCTGTCTCACACTTCCGGCCTGCCTCTGTTCTTCCCCTTTAACTCTGAGTCAAGTCCGCAGAGCTCTGGGCCGTGGCTTAGCCGGTATCACAGAGCAGTCGGCACACTGGAAGGTCAGAGGGGACCTGAGGTGGTTTCCCAAAAGGGCCGCCTGGGTGAGGCATGAATGGAGCTGTCAATTCATTCAACCCCTGGTTTAATTTCTGTTCTCAGAATTGACTTTTTACGGGCACTCACCTACCCTGTCACCTCTCAGGTCCCTTGCTCTCCTGCTTTCTTGGTTTTGCATTTGCCTCTGGGAGGAACTGGGCTGGCGTCTGTCACACAGGGAAGTGCTGAGGTCTTGCTGTCCTGTACCCACTCTGGAAACTGAGGCAGGAAGCACAGTCTCTTACTAGGAGGACAGAGAGCCCTTCCTACCATCGTTTGCTTTGGGAGTTCCCATTTTGTCTTCTTGTAAGCTCTCCGCCTCGAGGGACAGGCTGCTTTGCGTCTTTGCCCTTGGGTCAATGGGTCAGATAGACACGAGAATCCTGTGATGCTCACCTACCTGCCAGCCGGGGCAAGATGGAGGCTCAGGGGAAGAGACTGCAGGTTGTACATTGTAACCGTATCTGGTAGTTGGGGTCGTGCAGAAATGCAGTGAGCTTGGTCCTGCTGTGTGTCCTACCCCTGGCCCTGGTGCTTTTATGACATGAGTTGGTGCAACTGGCTTGACCTCTTGGGTGACAGAATCAGCTCAGCACCTAAAAGGCTGGGAGTATAGCTCAATGGCAGAGCACCCTTGGATTCAGTCCCCAACACTGGCTCTGGGCGGACAAAAAGCATTTCTGTAGAGCAAAGCTGTGTTCGTTACTTTTCTCATTGCTCAGATAAAATAGCTGACACCCAGA